GAAATGTATCACTTCATTGAGATCATTGCATAATTATTACCGTACGCTTTTCAATATACGAAAATGCACCTGAAATCCTATAATACTTATCATCAACATGATACAACCCATATGGATGAAAAGGGGTAGCCTGTACAATGACTCCAGGATATCAATAAATCTGCCGTAATATATGAGATATTAATATTAATATTAATATTAATATTAATATTAATTTATCACAGTACGTATTTACTATTTATCTATTATCAAGGCTGTGAGAAGTAACACGTCATTTGTAACAGTGTTTCAATTACTTTCTCTCAATAACAGATAAGAAGAGACATAATTTCTTCATTAATTATGTAACAGTTATTATATTTCTTTTTATGTAATAGTAACGAATATAATTGTAACGGATATAATGTATACATATACATGTATGGGCAGCAGCGTATTGTAAAAAAAAGATCTTCATAATTTGTGAAATATATAACCAAAATCGTAGCGACTCATTACTTCTTGAGTCATTTTTCGAGACGAGCAACGGTAAAGGCAGTGAGTCATTTTTCCAAATAACGAGTGACGGCGACGAGTTACTTTTAGAAAGTTTTCTTAAACCTTACCAGCCATGAAAGTAATAAGTCATCGCATGTATTGCATGTACTAACTGTATCGCCTCGGTGTGTCTTTGAATGCTGTAAGCGACAATGGAATAAGATTTACCGTTCTTCGTGACGTGCTTTAACGGATCGTCGACACCGCCTTTCAAATTGTGTGCATTTTCCATGATACAGCTAAGCCACGATGTTATCCGGAAATAAGAACATTAATTTTAACACTTTTGTCGACGCGATACCTAATTTCCAACCGAAACTGGCCACAATTTTATTTCTCAGTCTCGTAGGTGGGGACAATCACGTGGACTCTTACCTCAGAGCTGCGAGCAGGCCGCAGTAATATTCAACAAATGTCAAATACAAAACATCGACTGCACATATAAAATTCAAGTACAGTATTTCGCATATGACCGTGTGTAAGAAAATCAGGGCGTAATACGTATCTATGTCGACAAAGTAATTAACGCGAAAAGGTAAACCCACTTGGCTGTCTAATGTTTCACTTGTTCCATTTGATTTGGATTCAATGTACGTCAACTTCTCCAACAGATTCTCAGATAGGTAAAGGATGGAATGTCCATACATAACAACTGGTTGCGGACCGAATACGTCAAATTAATTTCATCCGTCGAAAAGTTCGGTTCGGACTTTTCGAACTGTCAGTCAAAAGATTTGTTTGGATTTTTCAGAGAGACGTGAATTTATTCATTGTTGCATTCAATGGGAACCAATAGTTCATCGACCAAGTTATCGCCGTCATTGTCTGTTATCTTTTATCGACGTTTTAGCAACATTCTTTGTACTGTAGAAGTTTTAGGTATATTACTTAAATTTCACTTTATTATAAAAGTTGTCCGCGGTTAAAGAAGGAAATATTTCACTTTTCACTGACTTTAACTTTTGTCCGAGCTTTTCAATTGATCAGATATTTAGTGTTTTTTGCATTCAGTAACAGTAATAAATCCACGTTTTAGTCACATTTAGTCGATACATTTACCTGTTAACACGTAACTAAACTTTCGTCCATATGTCGCATAAGAACGCAGAATTATAGTCTCTTCGTTCGTCTTCGGGGAGGCCCAATGCACTTTTATTTTCATCAGCAGAATCTTGAGCTGTAATTTCAAGTTAATCAAATTGTGAGTGAATTGTTCCTTACTTTACCGATCTTACGGGTTTGCGGACATATTTTAACGGTTGACGTGTAATCATATCGATTAATCAATTAATCGAATCGATTAATGGCCAGCGTTATTATAATTTACACACCTTAGGTAAGGTACATGCAATGTAGATCACTTTCGCTATAACGTACGTATAGTTAATTGCCAATGGTAAAAAATCGATCACCTCGAAAATATCCGACCGAACCTCGAGCATACCCAACACCTAAATTCACCACAGATTACATTCGCGTGTTTCTCTAGCATTTCGCACAGTTGATTAAACGGCTTGAATGGTACATAGATATTGATTTCTTATTCTATTATACAAGGTATGTATGGATTTATATGGGAAATAACTGGGATATATATATATATATATATATATATATATATATATATATATATATATATGGGACTGTAGATCTCAAAACAACAAAAAAAGTCCGTATAAAAATATGTCCTATATTCGATAATTTCGCAGATACAGAGTTTCAAAGATTCTTCTGAAAGTAGATTAATAGCCCTACGATATATACCCTTGTTCGTATAGTTGCAGCCTTACCTGTGTACTGGCAGTGATATCAGCACGTCGCTCTAGAATGACTATTCAAAATGTTCTACGCTTAAATGCACGTCTACAAACGTTGTATCATTGATTGTCTGACACGTTCAAACACCTTAAGTGTGACTTGGATGTTCGAGGAACCTTGTTCCACACGCGAAGATTTATGTGTCCAAATTTTACGTAAGTAGATTTTACATAAACGTACAAGTACCTACCATATTTTGTACATCATACTCTGTAATAAGAGTATATTTAGAGTATGCGTTCAGCAGAACTTTGGAAAATTTATCTATATTTCAGAAACCATAAAATATAGGACATATATTCATATAAACTTTTTGTTTTGAAGTCTACTCTCCACATCCTAGTTACTTCTCATATGCGTGCAGCCTATATAGCGTGTCAGTCTGGTAGGAGTAAAGAACTACATTTCAAAATATACTTGGATACCGTATATCCAATAAGCAAATTGTTGTAGCAGTATGCTGGCAGATTGGCAAAAATTCGATCAGAATCCCACAATAATATTATAACCAACTATTACTAAGTATATGTTCTGGCGACATGGCCTGTTGACATGATTTTATGACAAAGAAAAATATAACTGTTTAAAAGTTTCGCGACCACTCGGAGATTGTTTTATGTTTATGTTTTCTTATGTATTTTTCTTCGTAGAAACAGAAAATTATTCGTATAATAACGCAAAGCTTAAGAAAAAGAAAAAAAAAAAAAAAATATATATATATATATATATATATATGTGTGTGTGTGTATGTGTATATCAATCTTCTATTTTATATGTATTTATATATATATATATATATATATAAAAGAAACAAAATTATTATTTACGTCATTATAGAATCACTGTTAGCTATGCTTCAATAATTTAAAAATAAATTCAAAATTGAACCAAATTATATTGCATCACAAAATGTTAATTAAATTTTTCACTATATTATTTATCTCTTCTTTTGAAACTGAACAGGTTTTAACAATTGTGCGCAGCAATTCTGCTGTCAGACTACTACAGGTTCTGCTTGGCTTCTGTCGTCAATTTACTAGTAAAGCATGTCAGCAAGCTTTGTCAGATTTCTGTGGCATTCTGGCACCATCATCGGATAGAACATATTCTGGATAGGATTTGTAGCTTTTCTATCATCAAAAATTTGGTAGACTCTGTTCAGAACATGCATGCACGAGTTTGGCTATCTTAACACACACAACACACACACGTGCGAACGTCTACACGTGCAATACGATTATAACAATTAAGAGCTATGACACACAGAAAAATATAAGTATTAAAACTTAAAAAATAAACGTGTTGATCACAGTTGAAAAAAATTTTGACGTCGTGATTTTACGTTTCTAATATAATCTCGAACGCGATTCACCAATTTATTTACTGCTCACTTTCTAAATATTTTCGAGCAAAATTTCACTCGAAAAGTAGGGTGACAGACGAATTTGAGTTATTTTTCATTCTTACACAGTGAATTTTCATTATAAACTTGAGTGAAAAAATACTGCCACTTTTGACTCCAAAAAATTTGAAAAGCAAGTCTTACTGCTTTCCATGCGTAGCTCTAACTGTAATGTGAGTTTGTCGAACTTTCCGTTAGACAACGGAGACGAACACGCAAAATGATATACTTAATATCTCTCGATAACAAGGCATGCCTTCTCTTTGTACCTGGAACGTGAAGCTAGATCCCATCACTAACAGGTATCCGCAATAAATTGCGTAACGAGTGGCTCTGCTATGGAAGGGCCATAGACCGCTGAAACTCAATAGAAGCCGCATAATATTATATTGCGATTCTCGAAAGAACTTGTCGGTACTGTCCATCTCGCCTCTCATCTAGAATCGTCAGTTTATAACAGTAAGATTCACTTCACTCGGGGTATAGATCCATAGTCGTTTGCTTATAAGAAATTCCGTTTCAAAGAGGCTCCGCGAAACGCACACTGTCACTGTTACGTTTTCATTATCAAACCGGGGAGATAAGTCGTCTGCAATCGATTGCAATATTAAGCATCAATTTGTAGAGACAGACAGTTTCTTGCAAATTATTAGTAGAAAGCTGCACAGTCGAAATTGCGCAGTGCTACTGTAATAGATTCTATACAATATTCTCTTAGAAAGTCGTTTCAACAGCAAATTTCTGAAATAAAACGTTATGTTATAAAAAAAATAGCTCTACGCTGGTTTATTTTTTTTTTTATACTAGTGTAGTGAGAGGTCAATTTTTTGCTATGACGAAGTTATCGTGCAATCATCAGGCTATTTTACTTACCACTGCTAAGAAAGATTTTCGTCATCTTATTATTCTCAAAAGCGAGAGAAATGTACCTTCATATGAAAGGTACCTGTGGTCATTCTCACTATAAAACTTCATACATAAAATCATTTATTTTACGATAGATTTTGGATAAGGATGGAAGTAGAAAAAAACATTTGAGAAAATTGATGTGGATGTAAGGAGAGAATGGGGAAAGAGAGAGAGAGAGCGCGCAATAGAGATAGAGAGAGATGAGATTGTAAAGCAATCGAAAGTTGCTTTGTACTCCGAAAAACACAAATAAAGATTACTGCGTAAATGTATATTTCATGATCGTGATGTGGTGATGTGCATAAGTGATCGAAAACAGTCAGTAGCCTACATGTTTTTTTCACTGTTGGCAGAAGTCCAGTTTTTTGAAATTAATTGAGTGTATTGTTAGATTATGTACGCACACATACCCGCACACGCACGCACACACATACACACGTATGTATAATTTCGATCAATTAGAAGATGGCATTGTCAAATTTTTTATAAGAATTTTTCCGTATGGCGCGCGCAGGAACTAACTGCAAAAGATTACTTGCAAGTCAAATGTTATTTATACAACTTTTTTCTCAAATTTTTTCATGAAATGAATTATGAAATTCACCTAGAATATACGAATCAAGTAATCGGTGGATATTTGTTTTCTACTAATTCATCTACCTATGAAATTCGATAATCGCGAATTTTCTAAAAATATTTTACATAGTTTGCATAGATCGCAGCAGCATAAAATATGACGAGGACATTCGTATTACCTAAAACCAAAAATTACACAATGGAAAGTAGACTTATATGTGGATTTTCACAGAATATAATTGCACCCACCGCGCTGAAATTCTCGTACGAAAGCACGATTATCTTGCCGGCCGTTAACTGCGACGGTTTTAAGCATCTCATCATCATCAAGATTACTAGCTTTTTCGCTGCATTCGGCATTTCATACCACTTCATCTTATATCTGTCAACGCAACAAATTATTGTTATTTCATAGGCTGTATCCGACACTTATGTGCTGGGAAGTTAGTGTTACTGACATTGCAATTTTTGCGATTTTAAGAACGTATATCTGATATTGTATTAAACTTACATGGATTGATACAGCATTTCGTTGGAATCTATGATTCTCTGACCTTGCCAGTTCTCGAAAAACGTATTAAGAAGAACGATATTAAGATAAACAAAATGTTGCGATGCGCGGTTCATGTCTTCGATATTTGTAATCATCTGCAAAGGGGTATATCTCTTGATCGAGATTACTGGGTAACAATTACAGTTTTTTTTTCAATATATTATACGAAAATGCACCTGGAATCCTACGATACTTATAGTCAACATAACACTGCCCATATGGACGAGAAGAGGTAGCCTGTACGATGACTCCAGGATATCAATAAATCTGCCGTAATATGTGAGATTGTATTAATTTCTCGTCACGTATTTCCCATTTATCTATTACCAAGGCTGGGAAATAACCCGTCATATTTGTAACTTCATTACAAATTACTTTCTCTTAATAACAGATAAGAAAAGACTTAATTTCTCCATTAATAACGGTAACAGCAATTAATTTTTGTCTAATAACGAATGTAATTGTATATATACATGTATGGGCTGCGCATTGTAAAAAATATCTTTATAATTTTGTGAAATGTGACAAAATGTGACAAAAATCGTAACATCTCATTACTTCTTAAGTTATTTTTTAAAACAAGCAACGGTAAAGACAGCAAGTCGCTTTTCTAAATACATAACGAGCGACGGCGACGAGTTACTTTTAATAAGTTTTCCCAAACCTGCGTGTTACCATCGTGAAAACAATAAATGATCGTATGTACTAACTGTATCGCTTCAGTGTGTCTTTGAATGCTGTAAGCAACAATGGAGTAAGATTTACCGTTCTTCGTGACGTTCTTTAATAGATCGTCGAAATCTTTCAAATTGCACGCATTTTCCAAGTTGTACCTAAGCCACGATGTTATCCGGAAATAAGAAAATTGGTTTTGGCATTTTTGTCAACGCAAAGGCTAATCTTCAAACGGCATCCGGCCACGTTTTTATTTCTCAGTATCGAGGTATAATCATGGAAGTAATCACGCGGATTCTCACCTCAGAGCTGCGATCAGGCCGCAGTAATATTGAACAGATGTAAAATACAAGACATCGACTGCGCATAGGATTGTCACGTATGTTATTTCGCACATGACTGTGTGTAAAAAAATCGGGACGTAATATGTGTCTATGTCGACCATATAATTAATAGGACGAAAAGGTAAACCCACAGGGGCGCTTGATGTTTCATTTGTCCCATTTGATTCCACGTACGTAAACTTCTCCAACAAACTCTCACTTAGATAGAGGATGGAATGTCCATACAAAACAACTGGTTGGGGATCGAATACGTCAGATTAATTGCATCAGTCGAAAAATTCGGCTCAAACTTTTTGAACTGTCAGTTAAGAGGTTCGTTTGGATTTTATAGAGAAACTTGAATTTATCCATTATTGCGTTCAATAATTCGTCGATCAAATTATCGCCGTCATTGTCTGATATCTTACGTTTTGACAGCATTCGTGTACTGTAAAGTACACTTTAGTGTATTTTACGTATATTACTTAAGTTTCACTTTGCTATAAAAGTTGACTGCGGTTCAAGAAGAAAATGCATCACTTTTCACTGACTTTAACTTTTGACCGAACATTTCAATTGACTTAATTTGAAATCGATTGCATTCAATAGCAGTAGTAAACTCACGTTTCAGTCACATTTAGTCGATACATTTACCTGTGTACACGTAGCCAAACTTTTGCCCATATGATGCATAGGAATACAGAATTGCAGTCTCTTCATCCGTCTTCGGGGAAATCCAATGTTTTTTTATTTTCATCAGCATGATCTTGACCTGTAATTTCAAGTTAATCTAATTCTGAATGCATTGTTTCTTTTTTCACCTCCCAATATTATGGACGTATAGGTGTATCTTACCGGTTGACGCATAATCATATGGATTAATCAATTAATCGCATCAATTATCGGCCAGCCGTTCTAACTTACACACCTTGGATAAGGTACACGCAACGCAGATCGCTTTCCCTATGATGACCGTATAGTAAATCATCAATGATGTAAATTGTATTATCTCTTCAGGGTCGTTCCGAAACTCGATAATACCCAACACCTAAATTCGCCACAGATTACATTCGCGCGTTCGTCACTGATCCGCATTGATTGGGATTTGAGATATTAATTCCTTATTCTATTATGCAATGGACTTATGTGAGAAGTAACTGAGATTCGAACAGCCGAGTCACTCGAGATCGAATTATTTTTACTCTTACAGAGTGAATTTTCCACTGTAAATTGTGGAGTTAATATTTTCAATCGAAATTGGAAAATGAATCTGATACATTCCACCCTTGGAGGTACACGCTCCAGTCTATCGAAACATTCTTTCATATGGAGTCAGACTTCAATCTGATCTTAAATGAAACATTCACTCTTGTGGAGTAAAAAAATATTATCACTTTTCACTTCAAGAAATTTAGAAAACAAATTTTATTGCATTCTATGCGCTGTAGTCCTAACTGTAATGCCAATTTGCCGAACTTTCCGTTAAACAGTAGAGATGAACATGCAAAATGCAAAATGATATGCGTAATAACAAGGTGCGTCTTCTCTCTTTACCTGGAACGTAATGCCAGATCCGTTCAGTAATAACAATCCGCAGTAAATTGCGTAACGAAAGGCTTTGCTTTGGAAAGGCCACAGACCGCTTAAACTCAATAAAAGTCGCACAATATTGTAGTGCGATTCTCGAAAGAACTTATCGACGTTGTCCATTTCGCCTCTTTGCCTACCGCTGTCCTGCCGGTGAAATTTGCTGATGAAAAATTCCGTTTCAACGTTGATTGCCCTGCACGTCGCGAAGTACAGGCGCTATTATACTGTTACATTCACGTCAGTAAGTCGTTCGTGATCGATTACGACAGCCGGTATCTGTTGCAGCTGGGCTTTGTGTTTCCAATTAAAGGTTGAAAATTACATGTTGGAGACACGCATAATGATATGTACTGTGACATGTACTATGATATACTCCCTTTTTTCTCTCTTGAAAAATCATTTAAGTTGCAAATTACTGTGAAAGAAGGTTGTTACTGATAATTCCCTTCTTTCTATAGTCTATTTCTGGTTGCAACGCGGGGAAACGTAGTACCGTGATATCTTTTGAAAATGGTGCTTCACTTACCGCCGTACATAAAGATATTTAATGATCCTTGCAAGACCCAACCAAAATTGTAAAAATACCAATTACATTTTTCTCAATTTATGTGATCACAGGATATTTTGCAAAACGCATAACTAATTAATTAATTAAAACAGGAAACAGTTTTATACACAAGGCACTCATGATCGTTCATCTACGTTCCCTTAAATAACTTATACGCGTTTTACGAAAGTTTTACTTTCATTTTATTTTTTAGATATTATCCTTAAAAATCTTCTATACTTGTTTTGCCAAGGATTATTGGGAAAAATTATATGTTCCTATCTTTGATTATTCTATATAAATATCGACAATATATTTTAACTATTATTTAAGTAATGAAGTATACATCACTTTTGCACCGATTATAATCTTTTACGCTTTTTTAAAACAGAAAAACTTAAATTACTGCACGGATTGCAAAACAGTGAAATATGAAGCGGACACACGTATCACCTAGAAAAGAGAATAGAACGAAAAAGTCGTCTTCTACAAGATAAATAGTTGTATATAGGAAAAAGGAGAAGAGGAGGGGGGACAATTACGATGATCCTTACCGCGCTGAAAGTCGGAAGAGAAAGCACCATCATTTTCCCGACAGTTAATGTACACGGTAATGTGCTCCTCATCATTATCATGTTTAAGAGTCTCCTGGACTTGGACGACGATTCGTACCATTCACCTTTATAACTGAAAAAGCGATTAGCAGCCTGATCAGGACGCTAATGGTCGCTGTGAAATTTTTTCGCGGTTTATTTCTGCACGTTTTTTCACGCACTTAGCCAGTAGAAATTGTCACTTACATCGACGTGTACACGCAACTGCTGTGATCAATTATTTGTTGGCCTAACCAACACGCAATATATAAGTGTAGCAACTGCGCGGTAATGTAGCCGCCATGCCGAATCGCGAGTTCTGGAGTTAGAGTTTCACTGGCCGCCTAATTCGAGCAAAACAATTTCAACATCACATGTTAAAAATAAAATCGAAATATACGTTACATTACGACCTATTCAGCACGAACCTGTAAAGCCGAGAAGCTCATAGCCCCGACGATCAGGCCAACTTCCAAAAAGAAGGCCTTCATATAGATAGTTTCCAAGATATGCGCAAATCTTATTCGAAGGAAAGTTTTGATAATTATTTGACTGCATGAAGTGCTACAGGATGTCCGGTAACTCACGAAGGAGCCGCGGCGTACAGGTAGATCAAGTTAAACAAAAAATTCCTGTATCTCTCCCTCTAAATCGGTGCATTATCTCGCACAACTGTACACTAAACTTCTTTAATTAATAATTAAACGTATACGTAATCATTTGAAAAATAGTAGAGGATTCTTTTGTTCAGTTTGACCTGATATACAAGCATACAGCGGCAGACGTCGCCATCATAGCTTATCTACCATATGACGTGTGATTCACGAATCTTTTTTAATTAATAACTTAGAATTTTACATGATTGTTCGCAAAATGGTAGAGGAATTTTTTGTTTAATCTACCTGTACGCCGCGGCTCCTCTGTGAATTACCAGACTCCCTGTATATGAAGAATGTAGATAAAAAAGTTCCTCTCGTTTCGTACGAATCTTACGCAAGCATATATACTAACTGTAGGGCATCTTCGTGTTTTTGGATGGAGTACACAAAATTTCTGTAAAATTTCTTATCACCTTCGAGCGTAACGAGCTCCTTGTCCTGTTCAATGGACCTCTGTGTGTGCTCCAGACGATACCTAAAGAACGAAATTAGGAAGGCCGCAAATTTACGTGATTTCGTGATTCTTAAGTTCATTTTAATAGTTGTCACTTGAAACTTGTCTCTCTTGCGAGATACTCAGATTTTTATCCGGAATTAGATCTTTTACTCGACTTATATATGTGACATTCTATCTGTAATCGTGACTCAACTGTAGAACTCTCGTCTAACTCTGAATTCAAATCTAAGCGTTTCACTTGAGACAAAGCTCAATAACCGACTAATACGGGTCTTACTCTCTGAACTACAATTCAAAATCTTTTTATCTTAATTGTTCAGACCAAAATTCATGGTTACCATCATAAGCCTTTTCCTTTTTCTATCATCAAGAAACGAATACTACTGCTCTTAATCAAGAGTTCAATAGTTATTTTCACTGTTTATTTCATTGTTGCACACCCGCGACGGTATTCATAAGTATTGCACATTATTATGTTCATTATATCAATTGTCATTATCATTATTGGCGTTATCGTTATCATATCAAATTATCAGATACATACCTGACTACTGAGAACAATGCACAACAATGTTGCACCAAAATAGTCACGCACGTGTCGGACGCGACTATGGTGGTGAGACGAATAGCAGTAGTTACGTAATTGTGAATAAGGACGGGATAATAGTACTTCTCGAGGTCTATATAGTACTCCACGTGATACGGAAATCCTATTGGCCGCGTCGAATAATTGGACTGTACGGCTGTGCCGGTTATTTTCGGGATTATCGCCGCCAACGGGAAGAGACAGCCGAACGTGTATAAGCCACCTAGATCGAAGCATTGCTTTAGAAAAATTACACACAGAGAAATATCATTTTTCTGCTAAAAAAAATGGTTTCCTCTGTTTACTTTTCCTCTTCTAAGTAATGATTACTTTTAACGAAGAATATTTTCGTAATAATAGTCTTGTAATGTACTCACTACAAGTTTTAGAAAAGCTTATCATCGTGTACTCGAAAGAAAAATTTATTCTCTTTACCATTTAATTCTTTAATTTAAAAATATCATAAAATTTTATCAAAGAAAAAATTTCTCGACTCTATGTAGTAAACAAACTAAATGTTTTGACTTAATATTTTTTAATGGAATGTTAAACTTACTAAGATTTAGGATCTGTTTTGAATAAATTTGGTGTTTATGATAAACTTACAGCAGATTCACAGGTATATAAACTTACGAAATATAAGTAATATTTACTTGAATGCGGTATAAGTATAATATACTAATATATATTTAATATGACAAAAGTGACTGTCAACATCTTACCAGCATAGCCGATCGTTATACTTCTTCCACTCTCGGCGAACTTATGTAAAATTTCGAATTCGCTCTGGATAGCCCACGAACACCAGTCCCTTTGTATGTGTAGAAAAAGTATTTTGATCTACGGCTTAAAATCGCATCTCTTTAGAAATGTGACTACGCACACGAAAATCACTGTTATCATTTCTATACCTTCTCCATGTTGCACCATAAATTTGTTAATTTAACAATGCAAACGCAATCTACTATGAGCGGTGGTACACACTCTAAAGTCGCTTCCAGGTCGTCGCGTAGTGTCACTAAGGCGAGTACCTTAAATACGAGAACTCGTGGCGGGATAAAGATACGATAGAAAGAATATAAAGATACAAAAAGCACTCCCAAAAGTCTTCCAAAATGTAATTTCGCAATCGCCGAATATTTACTTTAACAAATTTCGCTAAATTCTTATCCGTTCCTAAAATTCGAACTCGAATTTTACATCTAATACATACAACAATATTTTTACATGAGTGTGCATTCCCCTTGTTTTCAATCCCTAACGACAAATTAAACGACATAAACAACAAAGTGGAGTTATACGTAACCTCATTATTTTTTAGTTTATTTTTTATTCTATATACTAAGATTTGTATTAAGATGTATACACAACAGCAATTTAACAAGAACAACATTTTCTGTGTGTGTATACAAATCTTTTTATACACATTTACTGTAGTATCTGACTTTGGCACAAGCATATCCCAAGTTTTTGTTTATTATATACATATATATATTACATAAAATGTATACCAAATGAAGTCATTGTTGGTCCCACCTTGTCGCTTAAGATTACAATGATTAATATCTGAACAAGAAGAAAGATCTTGGCAAAAATGCGATATGGAGATCGATCACACGTAGAACTGGTAAGGCTTGCGATATAATGAATATACCTGCGTAAGGGCTTGCGTTATGCCGATAAACGATACCGTGGCAAACACGGCTTGTCTATTCCTATCCCCCTGAAAGGGCCATTGCCCTAGACTCAAGAGTAGCGCACGGTTAATTTTGTAATAACGCGACTGAAAGATATCGCTCGGTGTATTCATTTTCACCACTCAGTCGCGACTGGCGCGTCGCCGGTGTCTTCCCAGCCTAATCAAGAATTCTCTCAGCAACAGTCGCGAGAAATGACGCGGTAATTGAGCTCGCGCGGACTTACGTGCTAGAACGATGAAAGGCTCGGTCAATCTAATACTCACCCTCGAGAAAGTTATTATTTCCTTTGTGGTGTTAAGTAAGAAAGATAATAAGAGAGGATAATAAGAGAGGGAGAGAGAGAGAGAGAAAGAGGGGATACGAGAGGTACGAGAGGAATAGTCGAGTAGGTGTCGTTTGTAAGTTGCAAAGACGCCTCATCGCAGGTGTCGAAGCACTTAAACGGAGTGCTTAAAGATTGTGTGTGTCGTAAGAAAAGTGAATAATTATCAGAAAATAATAGCGTGAAAGTTATACGAGTTATATTAGACAAACTGTACTGAGAACTGCTTTAGAGCGTGGCTCAAACTTGGTTTGGACAAATAAAATATATTTAAAATATACTTAACAGGGGCCGAACACATATCGTCATGTTCTATGTATGTGCGGTAATCGGAGGTGTGTGTAAAGCAAACAAGTTTAATGAGTCCAACTTACATAAGTCACATTATTTTCGCTCGATCCACGGTGCGGAATTGGTCTACGGCATTTATAAGCAATCTATGATAAGTTGAAAAAGTCAGTGATAAACTATGTGATTGCATGTAGAGGAGTCTCGTAGCCGGATATGACAGCCATGACGTCAACATCGATTCAGTGATCATCGCATAGAAGTTATTAGGGTGAAATAAGACATGGACGCTTGGATAACCTGTGTAGAAACAATTTATATTTACAGCTTCTGCCGAATATAAAATCACTCCTATTTACGTTACTTATACGTTACACGCGACTGTCATAAAGTTAGCAGGCGCTCTTGACAACGAAACGTATAGGCAACCAGTCGTACTGACTTGTATATAAGTGCAACACTCTCTACGTATCTGCTCTTACTATGAGCGTAGCGCTCAGGTCTTAACACTCTTAGAGTCTGTTGGCGAAAAAATTACACTAATCGTTATACTAACGAGAGAACAATCATACAAATATAATCTAGGGAGTTGTAAGTGAAAAGTCAGAACGTTTCAGACTCAACTTTTATGCCATATTTATTGTAATAAGGAAATGAAACTGAGCACTCCCCTCAAATGAGAGCAATGAAGAATTTAAAAAATGTCTTGATCACTTAGCGACTGATAAAAAGATCACGAGTTAATTTCTCACCGTGTTGAAATTTTGTAACGACATGACACACATCCACGCCGATATCTGACATGGTATTTTGGAACGCATCAACATTAGATTCAACAATTTTCTCGCTCTCACGGAAATAGCATACCACTTGGCGGCGTAACTGCAAAATAAGACACAAGTTTGTTATTATTTAATAGTATTATTTAGAGTATATTAAGCTTTGATAAAATCTTAATATCTATAAGACCAAAGCTCACTAGTCTTTCTAATCGTTTTCATCATTTTTTTTATTGTCTGAATATAATA